GGGCAGCAGCCGCCGGCCCCGAGCTCCCCGCGGATCTGCGGCTCAGCACGAAACGCCGCAGTCACCTGTCAGCGCTAATCGCGCTGTTATCAGTGCCTTCGCTTATGCCCAAGAAGTCCTAAAACATGCCCCTCTGCCGGGACCGCGTATCCCTGAGCCCCTCTGGAGAAGGCAGGTCAGCCAGTCCGATCCCTTCGCAGAGGAAGATGAGCAACGAAATTAATGATTTGCTAGCGACCGGAGCAGAAGAGCAATGCACATTATCAGAAAACAGCACGCAGTGAACGTATTTTTCCTTTTAATATCTATTTTATTCTACTTTAGAGAATCTGGCATGTTATTTTACATAACAACCGGATATCCATCCTGCACAGAGGGAATCTGAAGCTATTAGCATCGATATTTCCTCCTGCAAGGCCGCGGCCCCGGTAGGTCAGTGTCCGGGGGAGGACAGGCTGCTCCTGGCACAGGATAAGGTGTGGCTGCTCCTGGCACGGGCTAAGGTGCGTGGCCGGGGCGCTGCGCCGGGGCCGCGGAGCTGTGCCGGGAAATGTGCGGGCTGCGGACCGCTGCGGACACTAGTGGGCACCAGCGAGGCCGAAGCCCGGCGGGGCGGGAGAAGGGGGGGGATCCTGCTGCCCAGCAGCCGCTTGCTCATTTTTTGTGAATGTCAACACAGAGGATGTGGGTTTCTTGTATTTCTCCATGATCTAAGTAATCGCTGGGGCTGAACTGGCCAACGCACAGAAACCTTTAAAGTGGTTGCTAGCTCACGCAGTGCATTCAACTTTTATCCGTACGTAGTTTAAACTGGGCAAGTGGCTGAAAACCAGTGGACCCTCTAATCTTTTCTTGATAACACCCCTACTGCCACGGCGCTTTGATGCGTCCGAGCCCAGAACGGGACAGAAACGGGGAGCTGAGCCGGAGACGCTTTCTCTGCGGTTTCCAACTCACAGACGGCACCCTTCCCCGTGCAAAGCACGCGAGGGGCTGCTGGGGGGGTG